TTCATATACAGTTAAAAAACTGTGAAGCACGTCTGATACGACACTTGATGTATTAGGCATCTAATTAAGTAAAAAAAATTGATCTATTTGCTTAATATTAAATAAACATATTTTACACTTAAGCATATACATATCACCATATTATTTCTATTTATTTAAGTTATATATTTTTGTACTTATGTAATAGTAAATAATATCGATACTTTTATATGATATAAGTAAAAAAATTCAACACGGGTTGACATTTTCATTTAATGTACGGGTGTTTAATTATGATTAAAAAATATAATTTGACAATTTAATTAAAACCCAAAGTAATATTTTATATAAAATTAAATTATTTTAGTTTTAAAAAGAATTAATATTTTTACAAAAGCTTTCTAATTCAACACCCGTGTAATACACGGGTATTGTACTAGTGAGATTTTATTTAGAAACTAGTAATTGCCCGTGCGATGCACGGGATGGTATATTTCTAAACATTTTTTAATATTAAATATTAAATTTAATGAACTTGTTATATTTGTAACAAAAGTAAAACGTTGGGCGCAAACTAAAAAATTCATAAATTATTGAAAATTGTTTTGTACACAACGTTTTTCGTTTGATTTGGCGGCGAGTCACCGCCACTACAAACTAAAATTTTCAACTAATTTTGAATTTGGAGATTGCATCGCATGGGTACCGTATGTACTTGTTATATTCGTGGAAGATTGCATCGCATGGGTACCGTATGTATCTATTAATTGTATATATTAATTTATATATTGTAATATGGTATTCTACCAAATTTTAGTTAATTTATAGTACAAGTAAAAAAAATTTAAAATCTATATATGAAAGATTCCATACTTAAATGTATTAATATTGTACGTAAATATTAATTGCAATATCTCCTACATATATTCGGAAATAATAAAACTGGTTGATTACGCAGTTAAAAATTATGGAATGCATAACAAACTCTATAAACGTGTATATTAATTGCAATTTATCCTACATATATTAGGAAATAATATAACTGGTTTACTATTGCCTTCAACATTTGAATATTAATTTATTAATTTATATCTTATAATATGGTATTCTACCAAAAATTAGTTAATTTATTTATAGTAGAAGTAAAACAAAAAATTTAAAATCTATATATGAAAGATTCCATACTTATATGTATTAATATTGTACGTAAATATTAATTGCAATATCTCCTACATATATTATATCTATAATAAAACCGGTGGATCAAATATACTTAAAAAATAATGAATGCATCGTCTCTCTTTAAACGTGTATATCTCCTACGCGTATATCTCATTATATATGAATATCTCCTACGCGTTGAAATAATAATATATTACAAAAGATAAAGACTGCATCTAATCTCATTTTGGGATAAGATGTATATTAAATTTATATGTGTTTTATATTATATTAAATAGATTTCTATACATTAATATAAGGAAACAATATAACCAATTGGTGTAATTTATATTATTCAGTTATTTTTGTACGTAAATACTAAATACAATATTTCATATTTGAAAGATTTGCAGTCAATTCCTAATAATTTTGTAAGTAGATACTTTCGGATGTTTTAAGCAAGTTCCATAAATATTTAATCGAATTTGTTGACCCGTCTATTTCAACCTTATCTTTGCGTTTAACATTTTAAGTATTAATGTATATACAGTTTTGAATAAAAAAAGATTATTAAAATTATTATTTATATACAACTTTGAATAATAACAATCAATATATGCACCGACATTAAATATAATAACAATAAAATTAATAATAGAATTCAGAATTTTCAACGACATGGAATAACAATAAATATCACAAACTACTAAGAAAGGCGTGCAAAAAAAGCATAGTAAATTGAACAAATATACTTACATCAGTATTTTTTAACGGCTTCTAATCTTCTCGGTCTCTAGCCACTCATTAGATGTGAGGAAAATTCCCCTCGTATTTGAACAAATGAGTTCTTCTATTCAGTGCATTGTACCTCCCGTGATTGAATTCAACATCATAGTTGCGGAGCACATATATCTGGCCCTCTTTAAATACTTCTCGAAATATTGCCATATGCGCTCAACGTATAATACCAACAATATAAATAATTAACGTAAGTATAGAAGTTTTATGTAACAATTCACCATATTGTCATAAAAGACGATTTCCATGTAATTCCTGCACTCCATGTCGAATTGCCTCTCAAAAATTCGGATTACTCTCAGTTTCAAATAAGGTTTGTTGCTACGATTGATTTTGTCGAGTGTATCCCAGACCTGTGCCATTTTTTTTTTTTGTCTTTTTTCAGTGCATTTGTTTTTCTCTATATTTTTTTTCCTCTGTATTTCGATGTGTTTTATTCTCTGAATTTTGAAACTTATATGAGTTGGAGAAGATGATAAAAATCCACAACTATATATATATATATATGTATGATTCTCTTTCAAATTAGCGTGCATAAAATAAGGAATAGTTGTTTTTTAAATTGAAAAAAAAAAATGCCACATGTTTTAATAATTAGAAAATTTGTTATAGATATATCAGTGCAAATTTGTTATAGATATATCAGTGCAGATTGTGAAACACGTGATTCCTAATTAATTATACGTGTGAACAGATTTTATTTGCAGTAATAGATATATCAGTGCAGATTGGAAAACGCGTGATGAGATTTTAACTGAAAAGATTTTATTTGCAGTAATAGATATATCAGTGCAGATTGGAAAACGTGTGAACAGATTTTAACTGAAAACGTGTGAATATTTATCTGTGCGGTTTTAAATATTAAATAGGAAACGCGAGGAAAAAAGAAAAATCCGGATTTCATTCCATGAATTATGCAATGCCTGAACAGATTATCGGTTAAGAAAAAAAAAAGAAAAAAGATGATAAAAATCCACAACTATATATATATATATATATAGGATTCTCCTTCAAATTAGCGTGCATGAAATAAGGAATAGTTGTTTAGAAAATTTGTTATAGATATATCAGTGCAAATTTGTTAGAGATATATCAGTGCAGATTGTGAGACGGGTGATTCCTAATTAATCGTACGTGTGAACCGATTTTATTTGCAGTAATAGATATATCAGTGCAGATTGGAAAACGCGTGAACAGATTTTAACTGAAAACGCGTGAATATTTATCTGTGCGGTTTCAAATATTAAATAGGAAACGCGAGGAAAAAAGAAAAATCCGGATTTCATTCCATGAATTATGCAATGCCTGAACAGATTATCGCTTAAAAAAAAAAAGAAAAAAGATGATAAAAATCCACAACTATATATATATATAGGATTCTCTTTCAAATTAGCATGCATAAAATAAGGAATAGTTATTTTTTAAATTGCAAAAAATATGGCACATGTTTTAATAATTAGAAAATTTGTTATAGATATATCAGTGCAAATTTGTTATAGATATATCAGTGCAGATTGTGAAACACGTGATTCCTAATTAATCATATGTGTGAACAAATTTTATTTACAATAATAGATATATCAGTGCAGATTGGGAAACGCGTGAACAGATTTTAACTAAAAACGCTTGAATATTTATCTGTGCGGTTTCAAATATTAAATAGGAAACGCGAGAAAAAAAGAAAAATCCGGATTTCATTCCATGAATTATGCAATGTCTGAACAGATCGGTTAATTCAATATTGTAGTTGGAGATTGAATACACCTCGCCTTCGTTCAGTCTACCTCGAAATGCTGTCATATTCGGATAACGTATTATGCATTTAATGAATGTACCATACGATACAAATTCATAAATAATAATTAAAATAATTTCTCAAATTATATAAAATTGAAATAACAAAGGTAAATATTACCTGTTCATCATGAAACTGTATATGGAATGCATTCCAGCTCTCCCGTTCGTGATGCGTTTCAATAATGCGGACTGCTCTCAAACGCAAAAAAGGTTTGAATACAATGTCTAAATTATGCAATGTCTACTAAATTCAATATTGTAGTTGAAGATTGAATACACCTCGCCTTCGTTCAGTCTACCTCGAAATGCTGTCATATTCAGATAACGTATTATGCATTTAATGAATGCACCCTACGATACAAATTCATAAATATTAATTAAAATAATTTCTCAAATTATATAAAATTGAAATAACAAAGGTAAATATTACCTTGCATTTAATGAATGCACTCTACGATACAAATTCATAAATATTAATTAAAATAATTTCTCAAATTATATAAAATTGAAATAACAAAGGTAAATATTACCTGTTCATCATGAAACAGTATATGGAATGCATTCCAACTCTCCCGTTCGTGATGTGTTTCAATAATGCGGACTGCTCTCAAACGCAAAAAAGGTTTGTTTCTTCTGTTAACGGAATCAAGTGTACCCCAACCTGGAAGCATTATATTGTCGATGTGAAGAATTCTTCTCTGTATTTTTTTTTCTCTCAACTCGTGAATGATGAGTTGTAATGGTGGAAGTGAATATCCTTTTATACAATTTTTTTTTTCTGCACGTTTGAATTGACCGAAAAAAAAAATGGAAGATATTGTTTTTATTCACCAAAAGTGATTGAAGATAATTATGGATTGTATTTGGATAGATATTAAATTCCATGATTTTTGGGATGCAACAACAAAATATGCAATCATATGTAGATATCTTATCACGTTAAGGGTATATCCATTGCTAAAAAAAAGGAATATCTAATGCCTTAATTATCGGAATTATCAATTTCGTATTCCATAATCCTTATCACGATTGTTTTTCAAAATTTGATTGAGATTACATAAATAGAAAGTCAAAAGTCAACTTAATTTATTATAGGTTTCTAAAAATGATTTTTACATCAAACCTTTTTAGATATATATAGATATAGATATAGAGAGACCTCGAAATAAATAAGATCAAGCAACTGTCATTATAAAAAGTTAAAAACCAATAGAAATCCGCAACGTAGCAAGTTTGACATTTATGTGCTCTCTGTAGATTCATTCATTTTCTTGGTTCTAATGAAACCTCACCATTTACCAGCCACGAAGTTGTACTACGTTGTTTCTTGCGCGCACACACAGAGACATTGACTTGTATGTAGCCATGACCTGTAGATACATAAGATCCACAACCCTATCCCTGTTTCTTATTCCTCTCGAGAATTTATTACTTTTCATAAAACTGAAAAAAGTAAACAAAAATGAGGTAGAGGGCGTAAATTGCAACCATTATGTCTGTCTGCGCTTAAATAAAAGGGATAGAAAAGGATAATTACGATGAAGTTGATGTTTGGGGTCGCATTTTTTGCTCCACTCAAACTTTGCTACTTATGCACATATTTTCAGCTGCGTCTAATCCTTTGTATTGAAATTATACGTTCTCGTCTCCTCTCTGTCAGAAAGGAGAAAGGGTCTTATTTTGATAAACCACAGAATCTTTTTCAGTTTAATTAGTGCATTTATCGTTAAAGATTCAATATTTGATAGTTTCTTGCTTGTGAAGCGAGATTTTCGCCAGGTTTCTGAAGTGGGTTCTTGATTTTAGAGAGAAAGCTTGCATCTTTTTTCTTTTTGTGCATATTTTGGGGGGTATTGTTTACTTTTTGGGATGATGTCAGTGACAACATGCCATAGTCTTGAATTTGTAAGAACAAGGTTGGACTCCATGTCTTGCGGGAGCACGTCTAATTCGTCGTTTGATCGTATGTTAATGAAAAGATGTGCAAATGGTGTGATTAGAAATGTCCGTAGGGCCTCCAAAGCAAGACAATTTCTTTGTTACCGCGAGTTCTCGTCCAAGACCTCTGAGGCTTTTCTTAGTGGTACTGCAGTATTTTTGATATCTTAGTTTGATTGTAATTGGGTTGTTTTCTTTATTTATTGGAGAATCTTAGAGTTTGTGATAGTTTATGGGTCAAATGTATAGGGACTGAAGCTGGTCCTTCTCCAGTTCTGGACTTGACTAAAGAGACGAGTGGCCCTGCAATATCTGATATCTTTGAAATGGTTGCCGAAGATTTAGTTACGCTCAACAAGAATCTGCTGTCTGTGAGTTTCTAATTTTTTCTTATTTTCTTGCTTTTATGTTCTGTGATACAGTTCATTACCTGTATTTCGAGGTGAAGTTGTGACAAGAGTTTTCTCTTTGACATCCATTTTGGTTTGATAGTAACTGATTGTTAGTTTCAGTTTTTGTGGTGTGAGCGTGTGAAACAGTTCATTCGTCGATGTATTGTCCAAACATGGGTCGTTGACATTGACATATGCAGGGTTATAGTTTTAGGCTGAGGAGAGGAAAAAATGCCTATGTAATAGACCAAATAATAACTTGTTAGAGAAAGGTAACTACTTGAAGGTTTTTTTCAAACTTTTAGGAGGACCTGTAATATATCTCACAGCATAACTGCAAATAAAGAATTTTACAGTTCCTGGAGATGCTTTTTCTTTCGTTTAAGTATTAATATCAGTAACATAGATGAGCTATTCCAGTTATCCTTCAGAGGCTGCCTCTAGTTATTTAGTAGCATAAATCAATGAGGGCCGAGGCTTTAGTCAAGACCCGTAAAAGTTTCAATGTCGATATAGGGATACTCGAAAAGGAAGCAATAATGGTCTTGTGGTGAAGATGTTGCTGCTATCATTGCTAATCCGTAAAACATCTATGATTTCATTAACAGTTGACTTTGCCAAGTTGTTGGTCGATAATAAGTATGAAATCTGTATTTGTGTATCAACTGTATTTATTTTTTTTTTATACTGGAGTCTAGAATTTAACTTGATATAAATCACCATCAGATCGTTGGTTCAGAAAATCCCGTCTTGATGTCAGCTGCCGAGCAAATATTTGGAGCCGGTGGGAAAAGGATTAGACCAGCTTTAGTTTTTCTAGTCGCAAGAGCCACAGCAGAGATTGCTGGTTTGACGTGAGTAATATCATCAAAAAACACTCTTTATACTTACTTTTGAGGTTTAAGCCATTATTACATATTGCATGTTCTCATTGTTTTAGGGAACTCACGAAAGAACATAGAAGATTGGCCGAGATCATTGAGATGATTCACACTGCAAGTCTGATACACGATGATGTATTAGACGAAAGTGACATGCGGAGAGGTAGGCTTTTCATACTTTCTGTCAAACAGAACATCCCAGGAATCGTCATTACTCATATTACACTTTCCATTTATTAAAAGATTAAAAAAATGCAGTTGATAGATAATGTGTGCTTGACGAGATTCAAATTTTTAGGCAAAAAAATGTGGTTGCATTTGCCGAATCAGGCTGCTATCTTACTTTTCCTCCTTTTCGCTTCGAATAAAATAAAAATCTCTTGACATATTTACTTTACTTCTTCAGGACAGGAAACTGTTCATCAATTATATGGCACAAGAGTGGCTGTTCTGGCCGGGGATTTCATGTTCGCCCAGTCATCATGGTACCTCGCAAATCTCGCAAATCTCGAAGTTATCAAGCTTATAAGCCAGGTCATCAAAGACTTTGCTCATGGCGAAATAAAGCAGGCGTCCAGCAGATTCGACTGTGATCTTCAGCTTGACGAGTATCTAATGAAGAGCTATTACAAAACAGCTTCCTTAACAGCTGCCAGTACAAAAGGAGCCTCCATTTTCAGCTCGGTTAATACCGATATAACCGAGCAGATGTACCAATTCGGAAAGAATCTCGGCCTCTCTTTTCAGGTAGTTGACGATATTTTGGACTTCACCCAATCAGCCGAGCAGCTGGGCAAGCCCGCTGGGAGTGACCTGGCAAAGGGAATTTTGACTGCCCCTGTTATTTTCGCCCTGGAAAAAGAAATGCGGCTGAGGGACATAATCGAGACCGAATTTTGCGAGTCGGGCTCGCTTGAAAAAGCCATTGATATAGTCAGGAACTGTGGGGGTATAGATCGGGCCCGTGATCTGGCCCGGGAAATTGCTGATAAGGCAGTCTGTAATCTGAACTGCCTGCCGCAAGGTCCCTTCAGACAAGCGCTTGAGCGGGTGGTGAACTATAACTTGGAACGTATAAAATGATTTTATTTAATTTTTTTTTTTTCGATATGTTGGGCAGTTTGTTGTCAGTTGATTGGCTAAGATGGAGTTCGATCGGCTGATAGAAAAGCTGCCTGTGTTGTAATGTATATTTTAACAGACTGTTGTGCACAATACTGCTGTAGACTAGTATATCATCACACTTGTAGTTGTATACATATGTTGTTCTTGATGAATAATGTTAAGCAGTAGTAATACTGCCTTTGTGTCATCAACTGTTGTAAGTTTGGAGGACATTATTTGGAGGAACTCATCAAATTTTCTTCCTCCTCTTGTTCTTTTTCTTTGTTTGCATATGTTTAAGTGTTCAAGTGAATGCTGAATATAGATTAAAAAAAACAACCACGATTTTTGTGGCATACCCTCAATAAACGAAGTCAAATTTATTTCATTCCCTTCCCAAATTTCACGCGTCAGATAAGATTAAAATAAAAAATGTACCGTTATTTGAATAAATACCAACATATGTTGCTCAGAGAAGATAACTAAAAGGAGGAAAGCCAAGTTGAACCCTAAAGGTACGGTGTAAAATAAATCTCAGAGTTAATTACAGTCGGAAAATTCTTGAATCTATGTCTCCAACCTGATACTGTTAGGACAGACTACAGAGGCCTCATTGCTCACAAGGCGTTATTCCAACCTGTTACAGAAATAAAGGAAATACAAACTTCGAAACATAAGAAAACAGAAGTACTCTTGGATCTTGACGAACATTACAGTAAATGGAAATATTATCTATTCCAAATTATGATTTGTATGATCTGGGGTGGTATGCTTTATCTTCTGTGACTGCACAAGGAAGCCATAACCACTGCAACCAATGACATAAAACCATGATTGGTTAGTCCCATATTACAAAAACAAGACTTTTCTATATTTTTCTAGGACGACAACTACAAGATTCGGCCTACAGTCAAAGTGGAAAGTAATCACGGTGCATGATTTTAAGCAGATTTCACTTGCCATAAATAAATAAACAGCATGAAATATGAAGCTGGAGCATAATGCTATTAACATTCCTTACAAGTATATATATTTAAGAAACTCTATAATCATCATGTCAGAAGTAGAAAATTACCAGACTGATTCAGATTCAGTTCTTCCCACGACTTTTGTTGAAAGAGTGGCGTGGTAAGAGCTTCTTGCTTGGAGCAAGATGATCATCCTGCAACCAAAATACGTGTGAAGATCTGAGCTTAGTACTAATAGTAATTCAAAAGGGTAACAGATAACTGAGAGAATATAAATCCTAGATACGACCACAGTTACATATAATAAAAACAGTAAATCATGTCGGGCAACAAAAATAATGGAAGTTGTTGATATTCATTCTCGAATATGAGGAATAGGGAATAAGTTGGCAGCAATGATACTACAAATAGTACAACAGTAAATCTTCTCATTTTTATAGTTATTAATGTTATCTGCTAAATATTAGGATGTTGATAAATATGATATACAATAAGAGTATCACAAACACAGTGCCAGAAACCCCGCATAACTAGAACATAAGAGAAACCCCTTTCTTAAAAGAAAAAAAAATAAAAAATAAAGACCAACAGTTGAACTTGAACCAGACCAACAAAATGAAAAAGGCCGTCAAATAACCTTTGGTGCCTACACTGGCTGACAGAATACATTAGGAACATAACCTACTGCGCTTTTACACATCAATCAATTGTCTCCAACATTATTATGCAAGAAAACTATTTTCTAATTTTTTCACAACTGTACTTAACTAAGAAATTAGAAATAAATAGCAGTTCAAAGAAGTATGAATATTCAGGCAAACCTTATACATGGAAGCCGCAGATTCAGACTCCACTGTTTGGATTGGAACCTGTCCTAGAGATTGGAATGCGTCTAGAGCATCTAATGTTAGCTGCCAACCACACAGTGCGACAGCACCACTCGAACTAGAGCCACCACTACTACTACAGCCAGCTGCAGCAACATTTCCATTCACCCAAGGACAAAAGTGATTATGGTGCTTGATTGGATCAAACTCAAGTACTTCGTCATAGTTGTTTCCGCCACTGGGAGGTTCTAATAACGCCCACATGCAAAAAACAAAAATTTACCCTTAAGAAAAAACACCTAAGGACAGAACTAGTAAGATATAAAGGAAGTATGCACATGGTCGGTAACAGCTAATCATCGCACAGAGTTTGAAAGGTTCCACCTATTTTATAATTCTTGACCAGTAGAAGATCATGATTAGCACAGTAAATTATAACAAAATGTATCCTTAAAGTGGAAATCACAATCCAGACTGAAAGTTTTCAACTTCAATTCCTCTATCCAGAAACATTATATCTTAAAGTGCCAGTTAATAAAATTAATCGGCTGCAACATTAGTCTACCTGATCCATTTGTAAATTTATACCCTGATTCAACATATCCACAGTCATCGGTAGTCAGATTGGGAGCCTGAGTTACTTCTTCTTTGGATGCTTCAAAGCCAGAACATAAAATGGCATTGCAAGAAAGTGAAGGATGGGGGCTGTTCTCGCATGAGGCAGCCTGCATGTTACTCGTCTTTTCTCCACTTTCAACAGAATCCGCCTTTGTTGAACCCACAATTTTCGAGCCACTATCAGCCCTTGTTATAGCATGAGACATCAATTCTTGACTATCACCTCGAGGATCCTCTCTATCCATTTCTTCAGGGACAAAATCACCCATTAATCCTGGATCTGGGCCAAATTCACCCGTCTGGCCCTGGTTGTCAGTTACTTCAGCAACAGGTTCTACATCACCGACAACACTGTCTGCTCTGTAAATAGAAGCATCAATCCCATGTATTTCAGCTTCATGGCTAGCACCCATTCCAACACTTCCTCCACTAATTCCAAAGCTGGGACCATCTTTCCCATGTGCAGTACCAGTATCTGCATTCACTACTTCTTCCTCGTTTGTACTACTAACACCTATTTCACCAGCACTTCTCACAGCTGCTGGGCAAATGCTTTGTTGTGCTTGGTTACTGTAGTTCAGTTCTGATGTCTCATTGGCCTCTGTGTTCTTGACTGTCGACGTAGAAGGCAAATGTACGTCATCAAAGTCTCCAGGAAAGTTCTCAACACTCTCAATTGAATCATCATTCGCATTGTGATTAATTGTGTCCATTGCAATGACAGATGATACATGTGCTGAATCTCTGGTTGATGGATAACCAATTATTTGGTCAAAGTCATCTTTACAAGCATCAACGCCAATGTCGAAGCCAAATGAGCGGCTGGGACCTGCACCGGAGGAGTCTTTTCCATATGGCAACTGGCTAGGACCCGCACCAGAGTCACGGGCACGTTTTGAAGGGCCAGCAGAGTACTGCCCACCATCATCCACTTCATCACCATCACGGTCTATGACAGTTCCTTCGACACTGTCTGCTTGGTGAACCAATAACTGTGGCGTGTCAACAGTGCTTCCACCCTCATCTAGAACCCTCTTGCGGGAACTGGGGCCACGTGATTCATATGAAGCTGCACGATCACCAACCTCACTACCGGAAGGCTGCCCAGTCAATAGATCTCTTCTTCTATCAACATCTCGGTACTGTTCAGATGTCAAATTCATGTGCAGCCGTGAAGAAGACAATCCAGCAGATATGGTAAGATTTAGATCCACCCCGACATTTGACAATGACTTTCCTTCACCAGTTGCAGCTTCATCATGGTCCTCTGCCTGGTCCTTCTCTATACCATCTGCAGCCACCCAACCATCGATGCCACTAGCTGCACTTACTCCACGTGTCAGTGTCGTCTTCTTTCCAGTTTCTGGAACATCAGTGCTATTAGGAACAAAGCTAGAAGGACGTGGGATGGTCAGGAAGTCCCAGATTCTCACTGTTGCGCCACATAAGCTACAATCCAACAATGGAGACCTGGATACACTTTTTGAGCAAGTACCTAAAGCTTCATAGATCCCATAATTCTTTTTTGTGGAGGATGAAAATGCTTTCTTGCCACGACTAGGATCACGGGGAGGACCTCGATATCTGGAAGGACCATTCGAGCATCCATTCCTAGCAGATTGAGCAGAATGCTCTTCACAATCCTGCACATTTGGAAGCCACCTGGGTTCCCATCCACAAAGGCTTATCAGCTTCTGAGCCTGCATTTCAATGGAACTTTATTTCAGGGATAAAATATACAAAATATACAATAAAAGAAATTTAGACCATGCTATATTACACGAGTGTATATGAAAGAAACATCATCTCGTGGATTATCTGTTCCTAATAGAGCCTCCAGTTTTATGCCAGATTCACTGCGTGCAAGCTGAGACTGGGCCAGCAAGCGGTCGATCTCTGGGCCCCTAGATACCCGTATTTGCTCAACTGCAGATGCCGACACAAGAGGAAGAGAAGGAAACTGGAGCAGTCCATCACACCTATCCTTATAACCACCAATAAGTGCTGATGGTGGAGTAGGTGGGAACTGCACAAGACTTTCTGCACAGCAATTCCCTATCCATGGGCAGTTAACTTTATGCCCTTCCTCAAGCCTTTTCGCAAATTCTTCTCCGGCACCATCAGCTACAAGAGGAAACCAGAAAGTTAGGTTGGAGCTATTTCTATTCAAAAGCTACGAGACAAAGCTCAGTTTTTGACAGCTAAAGAAACATAGCTGAACTGGTGCCAACTATGAGTAAGAGGAAGGAACATCTAGCCACAAACAGGTTATGCAATGGATGGTTAAAATCACCACAAAAAGATCATGAAAAGGATGAAACTCTCCCTGATACCTTCATCAGGAGTCCAAGCAGCTGTCGAGACAAATTTTAGAGTTGCACCACAAGATTCACATTCAACTTGGTCAACATCCATATTCACCCAGCCTTTCCTAGCACATGCCAGAGAACTTGCAGCCTGAATCAGCAATTCGGCATTTGGATCAACACGCAAAGGCAAGAACAAATAAAATTTTCTCACCACGTCAGCCAACAAAAAAGTCGGGCAGTTAAGTGTTCGCTATTATGTCAATTAGAATGCACATAATCCATGAAATTTATCCTCCTATGTGTGGAGAAAAACGATGATTAAAGTATGTGAACATTGAACAAAATAATGCTCTAGCAGAGGAATATATCAAACACGATCATCAAAAACACAAAGTTAGTCCAAACCTTAGGCTTGCCAAACCAGTTTGCAGGTTTGAATGTGGAGAGACGCCTCAATAAATCACCCCTTTCCCAGGGCCTGCAAGAAGGCTGTGCTGATCCAAGAGTAGAACCACCAGCACTAGTGCTCAATGACACGTTCATGGGTTGCGAACGCATGCGAGAAAGCGAACTCCCTTTTGTATTATGCCCTTGACCAAAACAATCTGAGCTGCCAGCATTTATGGGAACAGCGGGAGATGATGCCCCTGCAGAACTGTTCAAAACAGCAGGCTAATATAAATTTTTTAAAACGGTACAAGAGAACAAGTACCATTGAATTGCACCTACTTTTACGTAGAAGTTACAGCGAGATATAAGAAGATTTATCACTTCTCCGTATGAGAAGCTCACCGTTTTCTTTATTTCATATTAAGGCTTTCCTTTACATGAGAAATTTTTTACAGATGTACGTGAAGTATGACTAAGAAGCTGGTGTAAGTTCACAGCAATTAGAACAAAACTTGTCAACAAGTGATCTGTGCATGATTATCATCAATGCTAGTCAAACTGAAGGCAAAGTACAAGAATTTAATTACATGGTGATATAGAACTACTGATTTCTCATCTCGTGAACAAATATAGTAAGCATAGCATACCAGAAACCAACATTACCACCACAAACAATTTCCAGAAAAAAATAAATAAAAAAAATGATGTAAAAATCCTAATAAAAATATAGCAAAAAGAGCACTCACACCTCTTTCCAGCCATCTCCGTTAACATCTAGAAACCAGATGACATCAAACAAGTATGATTTTTTCA